CAGACTAGGGAAGACATTTTTGAGCCACCTTTGGCAAAGTAGAAAGGAACGATTGGCCATCGGTGATCGGTCCTGTGGGAACAATGCTCCGTCCTCTCGAGGACGCGTGGTCAATGGTCTAACCGCTCGGGCATGCAAAACATATGAGTACGCCCCCCCCCCCTCCTTCGCTCTCCTCCTTTCGCTCGTGGTCCATCGCTTGCTTGTGGAACTGGTGCAATCACCAAGCAATAGTAGCATTACAATCCAACATTCCCACGACCCCATCCTGCAGGTGTTGGAGGTTGTGGCAGCCGCTAGAGGTGAAGAGCCGGGCGAGCTCGCCGCGCAGGCTCTGGAAAACACCAAGCGCCTCTTCTTCCCGAGCGAAGTGTAACAAATCTGCCGCTTGGTCGTTGTCGTTTTGGAGCCAATTTTGGTTCGCGGGAACGCCTTCGCTGTGTCGGAGTCGCTTTCGTCTGATGTTCGGCGATGAAAAGCTGTCTTTTGATTTTTTTTTGGAGTGGAGGAGGCGTTGCCGGAAGAATGCGTCATCCGCAATCACCTATTGTATATAGTACATGAAGTACATTATGCTTCTTTTTCATGGAATGTTGAAATATACATGGGAACTCGTCGGTACCGGTTTCTTAAGCGGACACAGGCGCGTAGTATTTCAATGTGGCGGTACTTTTTTCGGCGGATCCCGGTACTTCGGTTTCCAGCGGTACCACCTTTGGCGGTTCCCGGTACTGCAAAATATGCCGGTATTTTTCTGGCGGCACTGAAAGATGGTGGTAGCTATTAGGAGGTTCCCGGTTCTTCATTTTTTCGGCGGTACTTTTTAGGCGGTCACGCAATATGGCGGTACTTTTTAGGCGGAAGGCGGTTTTTCGTTTTTCGGCGGTACCGCCTTCGGCGGTTCCCGGTACTACCGAAATGTGGCCGTAATTACCGCCAGTACCGGGACCGCCGACCACGGCGGGACAAAAACGCCGGGAATTTTCCCGACGTGCACCCTGGAATGCCACGGTACGGTCCATGCGCTTGTTGGCCGCCTGAAAAGCTCCGTGGTCCCAGGACTATACTATCTCTGTTGTGCATGCACTTGCAGAGTGGTGGGCAGGAAGCCGTGCATTTTATTCTACGCCGAATAGAAGTGCTACAAAGTGGTGCTAGTGCTCTTCTTTGGGTCCGTTTCGACGAATGTTCTTGCATCGTATCGTACCGTACCAGTACACTGAAAAGGGCGTGGTCCCGTGGTGCATTTCTGAGTGGGTGGGTGGGATGCCCGGGCAGCTCTGTCGCTGCTCTCAGGACGAGGTCGTTGTAGTGGGCGGTGTTCGGGCTTCCTGGCGGCTAGACTGGGGCTGGTCGATGTCGTGGACAACCGTCGGCGGCGCCCCTGCTGCTCTCACCAGCAAACTAAACCTGTTGTAACACCGCCTGACCAGAACGTTGCTTTGAGTTTTTTCGTGACTCCGCGAGTGGGAGGGTGAATTCGTTGCCTCTTCCGACCGCCCCAACAAAGTGCTCAATAGTAGGTCCAACACCCAAACGGTTCGTTGGCTTGCGTCCGGGGGGGGACGGGGGGGTGACTCGTATGTTTCTTGTTGGTCGTTTTTTTGTTTTTTCTCGTTGGTCAACCCTGAAAATTGACATTGTGCCTGTGGTGGTCAGATCTCCTGGCAGGTATCGTTACACTACACTTCGTGGTCAACCATCGACATGAACCACGCCCCTTGCTATGGGTATGATGTCTAAAAAGCAGATTGCAGACGGCGGTGTGCGCAAAAGAAGGCAAACTCAACACCACATGATCATGTATTATCGATCTGTTGATGGAGGGGGGCATCGGTTTTGTCTATCCGCCCCCCGCCCCCCCCCGTTCCGCCCCACAGGATCACAGGACGGGCGAGCCACAGCAGTAGTCGCCACACACTTGGCTGCGTCCCATCCTGAAAGTCCAAAGCATGCGCACAGAGAGAGCGGGCATTTGCGCTGCGTTGGTTGGAGCTCAGATCTGCTTCTTCCCTGCTGTCCAGGCGTTCACACTATCGACAACCATGTCTGCCGTCCAGAAGCCGAAGCTGTGGGACATGCCTGTATCCAACAGCGGCGCACGTTGCAGGTACTGCCGTCCTCTCAAGCCACCGGTGTAGTCTACTATATTGTGTGCTTGCTCCCTTTGCAACAGGCTGCCAAAGGAGTAGAGGCGAGACATTTGGATGCAACTCTCGCTGCTGGTTGCGACAGAACGGGCCCGCAATTAAGAATTTTTTTACGAAAAATGAGAAAAGAGGGCAAAGAAAGCTCAATCTCGGCCACAACATAAGGAACGCCTCAATAAGAAACATGATCGTGCGATACCCAGACAAAACAAGGGGTAGCTGGAGGAGCGTGTCCAATAAGAAATGTCCCACTGCTGCTGCTGCTACCATTCTCCCAACCCCTACCAATAGCTCATGTCATGTAATTTTTTGGTAGGGGGGACGGCAGTGGTTATTTTTTTGGCGTCCCCCGCGCCCTACCCACTGCTGCTGTATGTACTGCTGTACTGCCACAACCCCCAACGTTGGCCGCACCAAGCCGTCGGTTTAATGCCCATGAAGGCTTGGTGGTTTGTTGTTGTTTTCCTCGCCAGAAACGAGAAAATAGTAGATTCAGTATTATGCGACAGCCCCAAGGAGTAAGGAATCCGTTTTAAGAAATTAGGGACTTCGGCTGTTATTTTTGCCCAAAATAGGAAATTGAGGCTCGACCCGAATTTGACGTTTCTTGTCTCCGGGCCCGTTCTGTACTTCTGTAGGATCGGGTTTGTTGGCCTGGAGTATTTGCTTAACCCTGCAGCAGCAAATGAAACGGACCGCGGTTCGTAAACCACATGCACAACACGCAAGCAAGCAATTTGAACAGAACAACCCTCTTCGAGATGCACAGATACGGAGGCTAACATGTAGCTAAGTCTCTTCTAGATACTTGGTCTTCTAGTCTGCTGTTCTACCGACGAGTACATATGTACATAGTCTAGGCACACACGTTGCCGCTGTAGCCTTCACCGAGCACCAGAATGTACGCAGCAAACACCAGAAGTGTAGCAGCACCAAAAACACCCTCATGATATATATTCATATATTCGCTGTTTAGGTTGTACCGTGAGGGTGTAGCACTAATGTCCTTGTTGAATAGACAGTCTACAATCGTGTACTGCTGTAGTCTAGTCTACAGGAGTCGTTCCGAGGAGAACTAGCGTATTTCGGTGTCATGCCGCGCTATGATACTGGTCTGTATGAGTTGTCTACACGCACGTGTAGATTATGCGTTCTCCTCTGGGTTCTCACGCATGGCAGCTACAGCGAGCGGCAGCAGGAGCAGCAGAGAGAGGAGAGAAAGAGAGAGGGACGGGTGCATGGCTCCTTTACTCAATATATTGCAGTAGCTGTTGATGGGGGTGTTGTCGTTGCTGATGATGTAGTTGTTGTTGTAGTTGTTGTTGTCGTTGTCGTCGTCGTTCTTGTCGTTATCTTCAGGGAATAGGTAAGAATGATATGTGGTGTTAGCTTCACACAAACATCCGGTTCATCGTGCTTGTAGTGTAGTTACATGCACCTACAGCAAAGTGCATAGGCTACTTGAATTATTGGTGCACGCAAGACGTATGCAAATCCGGAGAACCCTTGTCGCTGAGGGTTTAGCTTTTGAACATCAAAACGGGACACAGCAATATACAGTATTTGTACCTCGCGCTTACAAATTGTAGTGTCGGTGGTGCTGCCTCCCCTTCCCCCCAAAAATACAGCTAGTGAACACGTAATACGGGAGAATATGCGCCACCAGCGTAACAACCGATTGCGTGCGGGCGCGTCAATTTACCCCTCTCTACACAGCCCACAGTAACACATAGACTCACTCGTTGTGTCATCGGGTGCTGGCCCTCTTTGGCTCCCATCACGTCAACAAACTCTCCTCGTCGGCCGCAGATTCGTCATCTACGAGAAGGGCATCGAGGACAAGGTGGACATTGCTTCCCCCATGGACGTCGGCGGCCTCAAGTCGGAAGAGTACCTCAAGATGAACCCGCACGGGAAGGTTAGCCAACCCCCGCCCAATTTGCTGGCTGACGTCTTTGGCCTGTGAACATTAGCACCTGGTCGGTGGTTGTAGATACTGGTCGGGTTGTTTCGCTGGTGGTATACATGGCGGCGGTACGGGGGGGGGTGTACTAATGTAAACGCATGCCGAGTTGTTAGACCATTGACCTCTCGCATCCCTACAAAGCCGGGACGGAGTGGGGGGGTGTTAGAACCAACGCGGCCAGCGGCGTGGGCACTCGGCACCGAAAATGAGAAATCACGTTGGACCCCAAAGCAGACTACTGCTGGCTGTCGAGGGATCCAACTTCTTCGGACCTTGTACCCCGTGACACCAAGAACACCTATAACCCCCCCTCCCCCTTCATGAGTACGCCCCCTCCTGGGTGAAGAGCATGAAATCACCTTTCCGGGGATGGATAGTGCCTGAGAAACGTACTGAGATCGGGGGTGACCGATTGTTGACGCGTGGTTTCATCGTTTTCGCACCCCGCCCCGTAGATGCCGTGCCTGAGCAGTCCTGACTGTGGGTCCATCCCGGAGTCGGACACCATCTGCCAGTACCTTCTCGACAAGTGAGTAAAGAAAACGCTCTGCATTGAAATGGGAGGTGCGTTGTTGTTGCTGTTGTTGTTGTTGTCCTTGTTGTCCTTGTTGTCCTATCTGGTGTTGCTGTTGTTCAGTCGTGTCTGTGGGTATCGCAAATTAATTGCTGTTGTTGTTATTCATGAGCCTTTGTTTATTGGATACGCTGCCGTACAGTAGTACCGAGAGCACCCATATCTGAGTGGCTAGACGACCACCATGCCCTCATGTTGTCATGCTCGCAGTGCAAACCACGTAGTTCTCGATGCTGTGCACCACCAGGTTTGAGCACGAGGGCAGCTCGTTCCGACCGCAGACGCTGCAGGCACGCATGAAATCGGCGGCCATCTGCCGGCTCTTCGACACGTACATCCATCCCATCCAGGTGAAGGTTGTTCTTGAGTCTGCGCATGCATATGGTAGATGCGCGGTTGTCGCTGTGCACATGTGCGCATGTGTGTGCCCCCTACGCCCCCCCCCCCCCCCCCCCCCCCCCCCCCCCCCCCCCCCCCCCACTCCTCGGAGTCTCTCTGCCCCCTCCCTGTAGCACGCCCCTTGTCTACCATGTATCTGTACTTCATCTGCCGCTCAGTGTCTCACGTGCGCTTCCTTCCTTCCGTCCTTGTGTGTCTTACTCTCGTCCTGGTTCGGGGGGAAGAAAAGGGCTGTATGTACAAGGCTGTGCCTCCGTTTGGGGTCCACTCGGACAGGATCGCCGCCCTCGACGACCTACAGGTGGGGGGAGGGTGGAGGGTGGGGGGTGGGGAAACTTACCGGGAATCGGAAAGGGTGCCTCTCAAGCGTCCGCTCCAACGAGCACCCCTCCATGATAGATACCAGCTGTGGTTTGAAAAATGATTGGTTACTGCTCTCCTTCGAAAACTGTTTATTGCCCTGCACAGCAGTCAAGGCGGCAAATAGGCGTTCGTAAATGGTGTCGTTGCAAGCTTACTGGATGGAGGCAACGGATCCGTCATGAATATTAAAGTGGAAATGCATCCCGTGGCTATGCGTCAGTACCGGGGACCCCTTTTCGTGGGATCCAAGGGTCATGATATTTTTTTTGTTTCTCGGTCTGGGGCGGGGCAAAGGTAACAGGAAGCTGTACATGGACACCCCCTCGTGTGACACGAGCCCGAGTCAATGGTGCCTAAAAACGCGAGCTCCTAAACCTGTTCCCTTACCCCCTCCCCTTTGCAATGCGTTCTGCTGCGCGTAGTTGCGAAGAAGAGATACAATAAGGACAAAAACGACGACAGGCCTACCTACACCCACCCGTGCTAGGCCACCATCCAATGAATGCCGCTGTTCCTAGCGATACTCCGAACGAAAACTTGTTCGTTTTCCGCGGTAGTGTACGTGTTAAGTATACAAGACGATGTTCTATACATAAGCATACCTACGTGCTTAAAACCAAAAAATCAGACTCAGCTGGGTTACTTGGAGGAGCTCGCCAGCCCCGACGGCCCGTTCCTGTCGGGCAACGAGCTGTCCCTCGCCGATGCCACGGCGTGGCCCACCATGATCTTCGTGAGGATGATGCTGCCGAAGTTCGGCAGGACGCCGGCCCTGGGACCTCGGCTGCTGGCGTGGTGCGAACACATGGGCCGGCACCTGGTCGGCAAGAGGTGAGCGTCCCACTTGCTGTTCTGGTACCCGTGGTGTGCAGTGTTACGCGTTGCAGGGTAGCAGGGAAGTCCATCGCTCGTTCCCGTTTCTTTGTCGTCATGGGAAATCGGCGGTGGTGTGTAGTGTCGAGCTACAGGGTAGCAGGGAGGTTGTTCGCTCGTTCCCCTTGCTGTGTTGTCATGGGAAAGTTACCGGTGGTGCGCAGTGTTTTAAGTTGCAGGGGAGTTGCTGCCCTTGTGTGCATGGTGTTGGAAGACGGTCGCGCGGCGGAGATGCATATTCGAGGACGAAGTTCCTGAGTGTTTGGTGTGTAGTGTGTGATAGTTGGTTAGCCTTCGTGGGCATCTATCAGCACCGCTCGCCACCTGGCCAGTGAAAGAACGTGACATAGCATGTGTGCACAAGTATGGGTGTTCGCGTTTTGTGTGCGTGCGTATCAGGAGCTCGGGCTTCTTTCCATGTTCATGTTGCCAATGCTGTTTTAGATATCTTCGTTTTGCCCCATG